AGACCTTAATTAACTTCCCTCACTTTGCCTCAAGAGGCAAGATAAGTACTAAATTCTGAAAAATGTCCCCGTGTCAAGTTTCTTAACTTGGTTATTTTTATAAAAAATATATATTATCATCAATTAAAAATATTACTGGTTACAAAAGTCCCTTTACTCTTTTTTTTTTTTTTGTCTTCATCATATCTTTCAACTTTTTTTTTTTTTTTGTATTAAATTCCTCCATTTACGTTTGGTTTTAGACTAACTCTATTAATTTGTAAAACTATTAAATATTTTATTTTTCCACAATTTTAAATAATATCATTAACACGTAAATCACTAATTTAATAATTAAATAATGTATTAATAAAAGTAACACCTATTCAATTTTTTAAGAACACTTAAATTATTTAAATCCCAATAATTTCACTTAATTTAAATAACAACTAAATGAAATTTATTTAAAACATAATTTATTAAACTAACACTTAAATAATTTTGTAAACAAAAACATAAATTAATTAAAAAATAACAAATAACTATAATAATAAATTAAATTAAACTAATTAGTTTAACTAATTAACCAAATAAAATTAAATAAACTAACTAACGAGTTAAATAATAAACAATTTACAACTAAATAAAATTTATTTGAAACATAATTCATTAAACTAACACTTAATTAATTATTTAAACATAAAATAGAATTAATTAACCAATAAAAAATATTTATATTAACAAAATAATTTAAACTAAATAACATTAACCAACTAATCACTTATTTAACAACAATTAATAGCTAAATTTTTTAAATACCAACAAATAAATTTAATTTCATTAAAAACTATATAAATCAAAATTATTTAATACATATTTTTGTTAACCAAACACTTTAAAAATTATTTAAACAATAAATTAAATTAACAACAACAACAATAAATAATTAAGCTTACTAACAATTAACTAATAAATAATTAACACCAACAACAATTAACAATTAAGAAATAATTAACAAAACATTAAATTATTCAAAAATTTTGAAAAAAAAAAATTATACCCAAATTAAAAGGAGTTCGTTGCCAAGCTGGAAGCGAGGAGTAGGCTGCTGTAGCGAAGGAGCTCTTACCATCGTGGAGGAGTTGCTTGTCAGCTGTGGAGGAGCTACTGCCACGAAGAAGAGGACTAAAGGGAGGAGGAGGAAAGGAAAGAAAGAAGAAGAAAAGGGAGGAGGAGAGGGGAAGAGATGGAGGGGAATAAGAAAAGAAGAGAAAAGCAAAGAAAAGGAAGGAGGAGAGGGGAAGAGTTCAAGGCTGCTGAAGGGGAAAAAATAGGGAGAGAGGGTATTTAGGAGCTGCTGGAAAAGTGAGGAAAAAGGAGAGAAATTGGGAGAAAAAACGGATAGAATATGCTTTTAGGGATTTTAGTTTTAGCAACGGTTTTTAAACCGTTGCTAATTGAAAATTTTCAAATTATTTCAACATATGCTTGGTTGGGAGGAAAAGAAGGTCCAAACTTAGCAATAGCTTTACTAAGCTGTAGCTAAGTTCTCTCTATTTGTCACGGTTATTTTTCAAAAAATCGTCGCAAATAACTAAGAATTTTTTCTCAAAGATTTAGCGACGGTTTGGATGGACTGTCGCTAATCCTCGTCACATGGAAAGGGATTTTAGTGACGATTTAATTAAATTGTCACTAAATTCCTTTTTAATTTGGAAATTAGCTAAAATTAGTTACAATTTAGTTAAATCATCGCTAATTTCCAAATTAAAAAATGATTTACCGATAGTTCAATTAAACCGTCACTAAAATCGGTCAATTTTGATTCATTTAGCGATGGTTTTTTGAATAGTCGTTAATTTTCTTTTTCAAATCTTGATTTATTATAGTTTTATTAAAACTGTTGAAAAATTACTTTTTTACTATGGTTTTTTAGACTCGTAAAAAAATCATCGTTATTTTTAATTATTCTGGTAGCGTCCAAAGAAGTACTTTAATTAAGTGCTTACGGACTCATGCAAGTAACCTTAAAATTGCGATGGAAAGTATATTGTTCTGACGTAACATTTTGTTGGGGATTTGTTTTTGTTTGAAAAGATATATGAACCTTTGCATTTTATTGAGCTTATATATATAAACAAAAACTTACACACAAGAATAGACATCACTTTGAATTCAAAAATCTACACTAATAAATCATAAACCTATCTTTTATATATATAAGCATTTTTTTTATTCTTTTCAATATGGAATTGTTACTATTCATATGTACACCCAATACATTTGATTTAACATTTCTGAAAGTTTTTATACAGGATTGATCAACAAGCTGGTGCAAATGTTTGTGCTGTATCCTGTCTCCGGGCATGCTGAAATTTAGTTTACGTTGTTTTTTGTTATTATCGCTCAATTAAATATTTTTGAACAGTAACAACGATTAAATCTGTACAAAATTCGCTGAATTATGTGGTGCAGGACTAATGAGCTCATAAATATGAAAGCTGTTGGTTAGCTTGCACTGGCTAGTGGTACCAGATCGACCTCCATCGACCTTGTGCTTGGCATTTGGACAATCAAGAGGAGTAATTAGCTAGATAGCGATGCCCACCAAATGAATCAGATATGGTCTACTCTGAAGTCTTCGATCCACAGAAAATTTTTCAGGTTGGATATGTGTATGATACGACTAATCAATGGAATGGAAAAAAGTCCAGTTGGCATGGCAAGTCGGCAAACTTTGACCCAGTACTTGTGAAATGGACCTTTCGACTATGGTGGTGCACAGAGATTCTGATTTATGTTTGGTTGTTAGGAAATTGACGAATGGCGGTGATAGGTCTTGAGATTTAATGTAGATGAAGCATTGGAATTGTTTGGCCTGTGTTTGTTTTTTTCCGAAAGTCTATCCTTTAGCCTTGAGCTTTATAACAAGCCATGATCTTGGACCCTGGTGGAGTTGCTTAGATAGCGAATTTTAATAGGAAAATTATATTATATTAAACATCTTCCACTTTTTACTCTATCTTCACCATCACCATTTTAGACTTCTCCTGCTAGGCATAATTGTATTGACACTGTAAAATAATTATTTCAAAATTTCTAAAATATAATTTATATTATTTTTTAACACACTCTTTTAATTTATTATTTTAAAATATAATTTATATTAATTTTTAATATATTATTTCAAATGAATTTTTTTGGTCTTAAAATCTCGTAGGTTCACCATTACAATATGTTTAATTAAAAAATGATGAAATTTAAACTTGTAATTATTTAGTAATTTTTATTATAATATTATGTTAAAAAATCATTTTAATTTAAAATTTTAAATTATTAAATGAGGCGTTAAAATATAATTTATATTATTTTTTAATAAAACTGAACTGATTAAGGCAGAGTTTGCAATATGAGAGTGTTGATCCAGATAAGAAAAAATGATTTTATTAGTACTGTTATTTGCTCAACATATTATTACATGACAAAAACAGGTTCCTCCTCTGTAAGATAGCTGGACTTAATTCCCCACACCCCAACCACCCCCACCACCCCCACCCCCCCACCCCCCCCCCCCCCACAAATGTCATCAACAATGGTCTCTTCCACTAAACAAACACAACTGTAATATTATAATGCGGTGGAAACTTTAAGACTTCCTCTAATTTCACTTTTGGGTATGCAAATATCATTTAGAAATGAGACAGAAATATCAAACAATCTCTGAAATTTTATTTATTTAAAAATTAATTCTTAAACTTTTAATTTGTATTTTGATTTTTTTGAGCTTTAGTAGTTTTTAAAAAAAAATTTAGTTTATCTTGTGATTTTCAACTATCATCCCTTTTTTTAAAAAAAAAAAAAAAAAATCAATTCTTACCATTTTAATCTGAAAATTTGTACAAATGTGCTGAAAAAAAAATCCAATTTATACTCTAGAAAAATTTCAGAATTTTTTAAAATCAGGAATTATAATTGTTTATTTTTAATCATTAAAAATAAAAAACAATTCTGAATGATTCTAAATTTTTTAAAAAATTTCAGATAAATCTCATAGTTTTTTTTTTCCATAAAACTATTTATGATAGAAAAATGAATAATGGACTAAACTAGAAAAAAATCAAAAAATAAAATAAAAAATAAAAGTTCAAAAAATGATTATCAAATAGATTAAAGTTTAGTTAGGAGGGGTTTGGTTTTTTTTTTTTTTTAACCTTTAGAAATGACTGCACAAAAATGGTTATGTGAATCAAATTAATTCTATTATAAAAACTCATTGCAGCGACCAACGAATTGAACATGATAACCTGATTTTTATGTCAACTAATCTAATAATTTTAATCAAACTCCAGGATTCGAACTTGGAACTAGTTGGAAAATATATATATATATATATATATATATATTCTAGAATCAATTAAAACGGAATGCGTGTTTGGGACCTGGATATATATTATAATCAGATATAGCGAACCTTCCTTGTACCTAAATGAAAAAATAATATTGTGCATAAAAAAATTGATTTGTAGAAGAACAACCAGCTGAAAATGTTTTTAGTTCATTTCCCTATTAAGGACTTATATGAGAGCAACTAGCTGGTATAGTGTCAATATGCTCAGCAATATTCCGTCTTTGTTCACAATCAAACAAGCAAAACGTATTAATTTCCTCGTCTCTACGCAGAGATATTTTAGATATTACAGATTTGTACTAGGAATATACAAGGCACAACTACTGTTCTGCTTATATATTCTCCAGTCTTGATTCCAATACATGTATCTTATGGTTACGATAACACAGACACGAAGGCCAGGGTACAGGATGGCATGGACCGGATTGCTTGATTTTAGGTTCTTTTACCAAGTCGGTGGTGTACGATATCTGCTGTTTTAGTGTAGCTTAATCTGTCCTACTTATCCTCAAAAAAATGAAACAGATATTAATAACTAAGCACAAATAAATATGTATAGACAGTAACAAGCATTATGGGCTGTAGATGTTCTAAGTAAATGTCCAAGAATAACCAGACCAAGTGATAGCTTGAAGAGTTGGAAAGAATTTCTTTGCTTTGAGAATGAATATCCATGAACTCAACGTCGGCAAAAGGACAGATGCAACCAGCTCAAGTATGGTACTGGTCCCAAACAGGCCAACACATATTGGAAATAAAAACAATAATCCTACAGATGAGAAACCCCCACTCACAATGGGAGGAAAACTTGATGAAAAAAAATAAATAAAAGGGCATGCACCTTTCTCTGCATTAAATCCGTGGGCTTTCTCTAATTAATTTCGAACTCTTATGCATTCACCTCTACCTCAAAAGGACCACATTTCCACTGATAAAGGGTCTACCTTTGTTTTCTTTCCACATATTTAATACTATATTTTGGAGGTACAACTCAATTCTTGTGTATATTAACCACAATTAATGTTGGGCCATAACCATGTGCATAATGGCGTACTCAACATCTCACCAACCTCGCCTTCTACATGTCTGTGAAGCATAACTGCATAAGGGACACCTTGATGATGATGTAAGCTAATATATATTGTTAACTCAAAAAATCTCACTTTGAACAGTTAATTTTTTTTATATATTTTTTTCTTGAGTGCACTGTCAAAAATACTAGAGATAAGTTTTTGGTTGTTTGTTTTAAAAGTAGAGATAATAATCGGTAATCATAGATGAAGTTAATATTATGCTAAGTGTTTAAAATTCATTATATTAGATATTTATGCAACAAGATAAAAAAAAATTCCTTTATTTTGACAAAATTTGAATTATCAATGTATATTGTTCACTATATATGCCCTTTATAAGCTTATTTGGCAAGAAGGTTTGTTCACCGAACGAGTTATCATCCAGGGTGATTCGAAATGTTAGAAAATTCCACAAGAAATTAATTTTTTTATCAATGGAAAAAAGAGTGTGTTGAAACCCTAAAACTTGGGGACAGCCTGGTAAGGGTGAGTTAATAATATACATGACCTGAAAAATCCAAACCCATCACCAGCTTTTGTCCCTGGCCGGCAATTCGTTCCAGTGGGATCAGGTGAAAAGCCTAGTATTTCTGTTGGCTATGATCCAACTCTATTTTTATTTTTTTATTGAAATAATTTTGGATTTTATACGTATCAAAATTCTGTACAATTCAGATTTTTTTATTGAGATTCTAATTTTTTTTCTTTTCAATTTAAGAGTTCTGTTTTTATATTATTGTTGTTTCAGACTTTAATATGTTTTATAAGCACACGTGGTAAATTCTAACCTATGAAAGTATAAGAATTTTTAATTTTTGTTAAAACCTAATTTGTGCTCACTATGACACATGGCAAGCATGTCAATGACTAGAGCTTGTCACGTGTATTTATGTGCTACATTAAGATGCGAAACAACAACAATATAAGAGTTCTCTTAAATTAGATAGAAAAAAATTTAAATTCTTAATCAAAAAATCCAAATTGTATGAGGTCTCGATATGAGCAAAACCTAAATAATTTTTACAAAAACTTGAACTCCTTTCAATTTCATATGGCTCACTGTAATAACTCATTTTTTATCCTTCGTTTATTTTCATACAATTTTTTTTTAAAAAAAGCTATTCAAAAAAAAAAAAAAAAAGAATGTAGCATAGTTTTCCTATTTCATAATTTTTAGGCATTTTTATAAATTTTTTTGCATTTTACTTTCTTAGGATTAGTACCCATTTTTAATTTTTAAAAAAAATAAAAAGAAAAAAAGAACAAATAATTAAAAAAAATTGAGAAGATTATTTGGGATACAATTGAAAATAATGTGAAAAGTGAGGACCGGACAACATTCAATTAGGTATATAATTGAAAAGGGGTAAAAATCAAGAAACTTGATTGAGAATTAATCGATGCAAAATTAAAAAAAAAATCAAGAGAATATGTATTAAAAATTTTTGATTAAGGAGTTAATTGGAGATAAATAATAAAATAGGCATTGAAATTAGCAAAAATAATCCAAGGAATGACCTATATTGATTTTATCCCAAACACCAAGAAATCTATATATAAACACCCTTTCACCTCATTTTTAGAGCCTTCACAATTATTCTCCTACCCCTAAAACCTTAGCCACCATCACCCATTTTTCCTCACAAAAAATCCTAGCCATAATATCCATCTTGCTACCCAAAAATCCTAGCCTCCTTTACTCTTCTCCTTCACAAAAAACTCTAACCTCCATTACTCATGCTTCCTATCATAACCCAGATTATTTAATTATATATTTTTCTCCAATTTCATTCTTTTATTTTTATTACTATTATTATTTATTTATTTTATCTTATTTTCGATTAAGGAGTTAATTGGAGATAAATAATAAAATAGGCATTGAAATTAGCAAAAATAATCCAAGGAATGACCTATATTGATTTTATCCCAAACACCAAGAAATCTATATATAAACACCCTTTCACCTCTTTTTTAGAGCCTTCACAATTATTCTCCTACCCTTAAAACCTTAGCCTCCATCACCCATTTTTCCTCACAAAAAATCCTAGCCACAATATCCATCTTCCTACCCAAAAATCCTAGCCTCCATTACTCTTCTCCTCCATAAAAAAAACTCTAACCTCCATTACTCATGCTTTCTATCATAACCCAAATTATTTAATTATATATTTTTCTCCAATTTCATTCTTTTATTTTTACTACTATTATTATTTATTTATTTTATCTTATTTTCGATTAAGGAGTTAATTGGAGATAAATAATAAAATAGGCATTGAAATTAGCAAAAATAATCCAAGGAATGACCTATATTGATTTTATCCCAAACACTAAGAAATCTATATATAAACACCCTTTCACCTCATTTTTAGAGCCTTCACAATTATTCTCCTACCCTTAAAACCTTAGCCTCCATCACCCATTTTTCCTCACAAAAAATCCTAGCCACAATATCCATCTTCCTACCCAAAAATCCTAGCCTCCATCACTCTTCTCCTCCACAAAAAACTCTAACCTCCATTACTCATGCTTCCTATCATAACCCAGATTATTTAATTATATATTTTTCTCCAATTTCATTCTTTTATTTTTATTACTATTATTATTTATTTATTTTATCTTTATTTTATTTTTTATTTAATTTTCGTATTTACTACAAAAAAAAAAGAATCAAATATATATATATATATATATGCAAAAAATATATATATATTATAGAATTGATTAGGGACATGATTGAATAAAAATCAAAATTGAAATTGAAACAATTAAGGATACAATCAAAACCCTAAAGTCGAAATTACAAGGTACATTGACCCAATTAACAAAATTAAAAGTACAAGGACTCCCCATATGGTATAATTGAAACAAAATTAAACCTATAAGGACCTAAATTAACATGAGACGTGGATGACGGGGACAATTCGAAATCAATCCAAATGAACTATCGTCCAAATCCTCTCAACTCTATTATGACATGCATGTCTTGTACCACACCATCATTTGGCACTCGTTTATCCCCATTAATGGCTAGAGGGACAAAACCAACCTACACCTATAGCTCATGCGCTTGTAGCTCCTACACTTACGTCAACCTACATAACTAAAACACCAAAATAGGCAAAGCACAATGCATAGGCATAAAGCATAATTGTTTTAGCTCCGTTCATAAAGAGCTTAAATTAACAACAGATTGAAGTTTGTTCTATTGTGAGGGGAGTTTTGAACTTAACGAAATTGATCCCATGAGTGAAGAGGATGATTCCTCGATATAAATAGGGGTCTAATTAGGATTTTCAAGAGTAAGAATGATTGAGAGAAAAAAAAAAGAGAAATAATTGAGGGTAAGATGAACAGAGAGGAATAATTAAGAGCAAGAGCAACAAAGAGAGGAAAAGCGAGAAATAATTAAGAACAACAATAAGCAACATAAAGAGGAATTGTATGGATCTTAGAGAATTGAAACAAGGGGAATGAGAGACTATAGAGGAGGGATAGTAAAAGTAAAAGAAACAAGAGTAGAAGGGCAAACATATTCTAATCTTGCTTCGGGTTTTTATCAAGAAAACACCCTCTTGCCTAATGAAGCCGCAATCACCATCGCCATCGCCCATCCTCAAGCCAAGCTCCTTCGAGTTGGACACCCAAGTAAAATTTACCCTTTTATTTGTAGTTCCAATTCTATTAATATAGCTTATGGTAGTTCCAAAATGAACGATGATAATGATATTCATCATCGCCATTACACAAAAGCTCCTTTTTTTTCCTTAATTTCTCTCATTTTTTTATTTGATGTTGTGAGGGTAAAGTAAGATAAGGGTTTTGATGGCTCGTGAGGGTTAGATTTTATGGTTAATTGTTCGATTCTAGGTTTAGGCTTAGAATTTGGGGCTAGATTAGGACAAGGGATGTGACTTAGGTCTCGAGGATTTGTAAGATGGAAGAAGAAGAGAGGGTTTAATGTCACGTAAAGGCTCAATCTTAGGTTTTCTTGTTCAATTTCAAGTTTTGATTGAAGATCAAGACTAGTTTAAGATAGAAAATAAATTTAGGGTTTGGGATCTACAAGACGAATAAGAGAAATTGGTTGAAGGTTTAGTCTGTCTAAGAGAAGAACTTAGGAGATGAGATAGATTGGGGATTTGAGGGGATAGACGAGCGAGAGAGAGAGAAGATGGACCGGCTTAAGGCGGGAGGAAAAACTTAGGGTTTTTTTTCTTTGAGATAACGAAAAGGAAATTATAAGGCTTTTTAGGCAATGGGTGTAGGATTTTCTTTTGTTTAAGGAAGGAGAAAAGATCGTCCGATTTCAATGGAAGTTACGGAAGAAGCTAGGTTGAAGGAGAAGTAAGGAAGGGAGAAAGGAGAGGAATTTAGGTGTTTTGATTTAGAACGAATTGGGATTGGTTTAGAAATATGTTGGTGAGTTGGGTTTTGGTATAGGAAATGGGAGAACTAAATATAAAACATATTGTATATATTATATAATCGTTAGTTTATGTAGACAAAAGTAACGATTGATTTTTAAAAATTGAACACCTAATTAAATTTAAAAAAAGGAACATAAATTGATGAAAAAACAAAGGAAAAAAAAAAGCAAAGAAAAAAATGAAAAGGCATATAGTGCATCGGCTAAGGATTAAAATTTTTATTTTAAAATTTTAAGGACTAAAATGAAACAATTTAAAAATTGATGAAAAAACAATATAAAAAAAAAATTTAGGTCTAAGAGATGGGAGAACTAAAATATAAGCATATTGTATATATTATATAATCGTTAGTTTGTATGAAAAAAAGTAACAATTGATTTTTAAATTTTAACACCTAATTAAATAAAAAAGAACATAAATTGATAGAAAAAAAAGGAAAAAAAAAACCAAAGAAAAAGATGCGAGTGCATCGGTTAGGGATTAAAATTTTTATTTTAAAATTTTAAGGACTAAAAAAAACAATTTGAAAATTGTAAAAAAAAAAAAAAATTCTCGGAGTGCATAGTAAATGAGGGGGTGAACTAAAATATAAAACATATTGTATATATTATATAATCGTTAGTTTGTGTGGTAAAAAGTAACGATTGATTTTTTAAAATTTTAACACCTAAATAAAAAAAAGAACATAAATTGATAGGAAAGAAAAAAACCAAAAAAAAAAAACATGTATTGCATTAGTTAGGGATTAAAATTTTCATTTTCAAATTTTAGAGACTAAAAAGAAACAATTTGAAAATTACAAAAGAAAAAAAACTAAAAGTGAATAGTAAATGAGGGGGTGAACAATGTTTTCACTATTCAAAAATCGTATATAATATATAATCGTTAGTTTGTGTGAAAACAACAATGATTGATTTTAAAAAATTTTAACACTCAAATAAATAAATAAAAAAGAACATAAATTGATGGAAAAAAGAAAAAAAACAAAGGAAAAAGAAAAGAAAAGAAAAGGCATGTAGTGGATCGACTAAGGATTAAAATTTTTATTTTAAAATTTTAGGGACTAAAAAAACAATTTGAAAATTAAAAAAAAAAAACTATAAATGAGGGGGTGAACAATGTTTCCACTTTTTAAAAACCCTAGATGTTTTAGTGTTATAACTAGTTTTTTTGCCTACGCTACGTTACATATAGGATAAAATATATAAAATTATTTAGAAAAATTATTTTAGTTTAATAGTCTATTTTGTAGTGTGAATCTATAAAAATATATGAAATCAAATGTGAAAAAAAATTATTTATAATTTTTAATAAAAAATTTTATATTTAACTATTTCTTATTTGTGTTTTTCATAATTTTTCCATTAGAAAAATGATTTATCCTTGTTAATCCATAGATTATTAACTAAAAAGAAAATTAAATAATTGTTTTTAAAAAGCTTTAGTATTTCATAAGATTATATCAAAAATAAAAATAACAATTATTAAAAGTTTACATAGAATTGAATAAATAATTATTTTTATTTTTATTTAATATTGATGAGAATATCATTTTTTTGAAAAAAATGTGAATTTAATTTTTATATATTTATCTATAAAAGAATGAATAATATTAAAATAAAAAACTATATTAATTTGAATCATTGAGTGGTTAAGCCAAAACATAATTTTAATGATTTAATTTAAAATTATTTAATTTAAAATATTCAGAAATAAATAAATATATAGTAAATGCTTAGTATAGTAGTAGTTGCGCAGTTAATTTCTAAAAAAGACAACGATTCAATATTTTTTTACACATCATAACTATACTAAGTAAGTTTAGAGTTTTCAATCTAAAACAAAAAATATTATAAACAAAAAAATTTATCTTGCAAGGAATCTATTGACTAAATTTGAAGTTAATAGATTAAAATAAAAATTATTAAAAATTTGATTTTGATTAATTTTGATTATATAAAAAAGAAACAAATTAATAAAACATGTGAATTGTTTTTCTTTTTTCTTTTCCTCCTTAAATAATTTTTTATTTCTATGCCATGCATGGTTAGTCCTTGAATACAGTGCCTCACACGTATGGCAACCATCTTCTTTTTATTTTTTACATTTGACATTCAACTATTAATTAATTAATTTGATATTTTTTCTACAAAAACCAAGAAAAAATTATTTCAAATCCACTTTTAATTTGAAAATGTATTTCAAATAAATTATATATATTAATCATGCCCCTATAATTTAAAACTTCTCTAAATCTATTTCTTAAAAGAAAAAATGATTATGTTCTAAAAATGTATTCCAAAATCCATACATATAAAAAAATAAATCAAAACTATCAGTAAATATAATTTTAACTTAATTGGACGAGAATTTTAAAAAAATGACAAATTAGAGTAGTAAATTTTAAATAATAAAAATAATTAACAAAAAACACAAAAATAAAATGGGACCAAATCATAATATAATTAAAGTTTGAAATTGAAAAAAAAATGTATAGAAAAATCGAAGGCCATATAATTTTAAATTAATTAGATGAGAATTTAAAAAAAATGACAAATTAAAGTAGTAAATTCAAAATAATAAAAATAATTAACAAAAAAAAACAATAAAAAATGGGATCAAATTACAATACAATTAAAGTTTGAAATTGAAAAAAAAAGTATGAAAAAATTGAGGACTAAAAATGTATTTCAAAAAAATTATTTATATTAATCATGCCACTGTAATTTAAAAATTATCTAACTTTAATTTTCAAAAGAAAAAATAATCATGTTCTAAAAATTTATTCCAAAATCCATACATATAGAAAAATAAATCAAAATTGTCGAGTAAATATAATTTTAAATTAATTGGATGAGAATTTAAAAAAATAAAAAATTAAAGCAATAAATTTTAAATAATAAAAATAATTAATAAAAAACACTAAAACAAAATAAAATCAAATCACAATACAATTAAAGTTTGAAATTGAAAAAATATGTATAGAAAAATTGAGGACCATATAATTTTAAATTAATTGGATGAGAATTTTTTTTTAAAAAAAGATAAATTAAAGTAGTAAATTTTAAATAATAAAAATAACTAATAAAAAAAACTAAAACAAAATGAGACTAAATCACAATATAAATAAAATTTGAAATTAAAAAAGAAAAAAGAAGAGAGAAATTTTTTTTAAAAAAAGAAAAATTAAAGTAGTGAATCTTAAATAATAAAAATAATTAACAAAAAATACTAAAACAAAATGGAACCAAATCACAATACAATTAAAGTTTGAAATTGAAAAAAAAGTATAGAAAAATTGAGAATCAAAGTGTTGCAAAAATGCCATAAATAGTAAAAGGAATAGTGATTTATGAGTGTGTAAATAGTAATAGTGAGTTTGGGAACAAGCAGTGGCGGATGCGAGGACCAAATGTCTACGGGGGCCAAAATAAATGTTTATAAATTTGTCATGGTTTATACAAATTTCTATATGTTATAAATAATATACAAACATATATTTTAAAATAGTCTCAAAATACAATCACTCAAAATAGAGATCTTCGTTTTTTCAAGTTACGATAAAAATAAATAGAATAATTTGACTCCTCATTAAAGTTTGAAATGAAAAAATTCATTCTTTTAAAATATGCATCGATGGTATATAACTTTTTCATTTACAATAAAAATAAATTACAAATATGAATATGCATCAATTTCTAAAATGCGATATGCAACAAATTACAAATTCACTTAAATTAGAAATAAGATATTCAAATTTTCAAACAAAATACATAAATAGACCATCACCTGTGTCTACTAAGAGCCACCCTTAGGCTCACTAGTATACGTATCTAAAAATATTAAGGATTATAGTAGCACCGGTTGCTTCATTAATAAGTTGAATATATTTTAAAATAGTTAAGTAATATAGAACCTATAAAATATAAATAAGAAAAATCATTATTATTAACAAAAAACAATTGAGAATCCAATATAGTAATCTAAATATGGTTGTGATAATTGAAGATATTTTTTAATAACCATTAATGAAAAAAAAATGATTATTTGTAAATTGTAATCCCGAATTCTTATTGTTACAACTCCTTTTTTTTTGTCCTCGTCTGTGGGTCTACCATTACAAGCACAACCATGGTACAAAATTTCAGAATTGATAGTATAATTTTAATTCAAGTAGATAAATTAAATTTATTAAGTGATTGATCCAATATTCTAATAAATACCTCAATTACATAAAATAAAATTAGAAAGACAATCGATCTAATATTTTAATTATAAAATATTATTTAAAAAGAAAATTGAGAGTTGCTTGAGATTCAATTAATATATAAAATGAAAAACTTAATAAATTAATGATATAAATAATATAATCAAAGTTAATAAATTACTGATTTTTGAAAAAAATACTTGCTGTGTTGTCAAATAAGAAAAATTCAAATCAGAAAGAAAGTTTTCTTTTTGATATTTTGAATAGGGTAAAAGTTACGTGAAAGGAAAAAATGAATGGGTTTATTAAGATGTTAGTATACTAACGTAGGGGAAAAAAATTGGGAATAGTATTATAGATAGTAAAAAATCATTTTGGTTTAGAGTTTTCTATAATATAGTAAATAGTAAATATCATTTATTTCAAAGGATATAATCTCATCTATAATTGAGGTAAATTGTGATTTTTTCGATGATCCTTGCATTTCCCTTGGGTTTTAAGTGAGCATGACCGATATTGAGTGAGATTGAGGAGTGTTAGGTGGACCTTTGTGGTCGGAAATGGGAAGTGATAATCCAAAATTCCCAACGTGACTTTTAAAGCGCGTTTCAGACAAGAAGATTTCAAACATCGAGTAACGTAGATAGGAAGCACAATGAGCAGGTACACGTGTGCTTATGTCTGGTGGTATCAGAGCATCAGAGGAAGAAGAAGGAGGAGGAGGAGAAGAGGTAGGCTTGCCTGGTTGTCAGGTCGGATCAATTGACGGAAAATTAAATAATTTTGCTACCCCATCTATCTGTATATTTTTGAAGACAGACAAGAAATGGTTGAAGTAGGTAAAGCCACGTCTTTCCATCAAAGACCATCCATGGGATGTCTTCATTTACTATCAATGGCTGCAGAAAGTAGGACCCAAATGAAACTGCTAAGTAACAACACTATGAAACATGATATTTTGTTAAATAAAATAATATTAAATTAAAAAATTAAATAAATAGCTTTTAAAACAAGAGGGGTTAATTAATTCCTTTTTTAAAAATAAAGAAACTAATTTATAATTCACTTTTTTGGGTAATAATGAAGCATATATATATATATACTGGGATTAAATATGTTTATGTTGTAATTTGTTTCAAAAGATTTTATTTTTCAAAATCGAAGATAATTAATCATCTCAAAAATTATATTTGTAAATATTGCCTAAAATATGATTTTACTGACACATATAAAGGAAAGATAAAGAACTTGAAGAATCCTATCATATATATATATATATATTTTGCAGTACAAATAACTTTGCTAATTGAATAAAAAATTCAACCAATATCAAAGCTAGAAAGGAAAAGAAGAAGAAGAAGAAGAAGAAGAAGAAGAAGAAGAAGAAGAAACTGTAGTTCCACAAATTAAACCAGATGCTATTTTGATCAGTATCCACAAATTAAACAAGATCGCTATTCGCTCTCTCTCTCTGTCTCCTGGGAAACCGCTATATATTAGAGTAAATTATAAATTATTCTTTTTAATTTTAAAAAATAAATTTATTAATCCCTTATTTCAAACACTAATTATTTAATCCTTTTGTTTTTAATTTTTCTTGTAGCTTAATCTTTTTTTCTCATTTTAAATTTATTTTATTTTATATTTTAAAAAATAGATAAAATAAAAAATAAGTAAAAAATATAAAAGTATTGACGAGAAAATATGATATTTTTTAAAAATAAAATAATATTAAATTAAATATGATCAACACTATTAAGAAATTAAATAATTAGTTCTTGAAAAAAAGACTAACTAATTATTTTTGAAAACTAGAGGGACTAACTTATAATTTACTTATATATATATATACACACACACACACACACACACACACACACACACACACACATATTAGCGATTAACCGTCCTACGCAGCGGGTCCAAGTAAAATAAAATTATTTTAAAATTTAAAATTTTTTAATGTTTTTTTTTATAAATTCTTTGCTTAAAAAAAACATAAATCATTCTTCTCTATGGATTGATTCATATATATATTTAGTAATCAATAAAATTAGCATAAAAAATAGTATTTGAATAATTGGTTGATTTCTTTAAAAATTTATTTTAATTATTTTATTCTAAATAAATTGGTTCTATAATGTTAAAAAAATATTTATAGTAAATAATTTGTATTATTTTGGAAGATTTATAGTTAATTTTAAAATTTAGTAATCAATAAAATTAGCATAAAAAAATATTTGAATAATTGATTGGTTTCTTTAAAAAAATATTTTAATTATTTTATTCTAAATAAATTATTTCTATAATATTAAAAAAAATATTTATAGTAAATAATTTGTATCTAATGAACCAAGACAAATTATTTGAAATACACTTTTAACCTTTTAGAATAAAATAATTAAATATTTATATATATATATGCAACTATCATGTAAAAATTCTAAGAATTCATGATATATATTATATTAATTTTTTTTTCAAAAAAAATATGTTTTAAAATTTTATTCTAAAATTCAAACATAGAGAAAAATAAATTATATAATATCAGTAAATAAAATTTCATATAAAAAATATTAATTGGATGAAAATTTTTATAAAAAAAATGATAAATTCAAAAAATAAATTTTAAATAATAAGAGTAATATAAGTTGAAGTATACGTTAATTTTAAAATATTAAAAGAAATATTATATAATCTCAGCTTGTATAAAAAAAGTTACAATTATTTTTTAAAAATTTTAACACCCAATCAAATAAAAAAAAACATAAATTGATGGAAAAAAGTAAAGAAAAAAACCAAAGGAAAAAAAAGAGACATGTTTAGTTCATCGATCAGGAGATTAAAATTTTTATTTTAAATTTTTAGGGATCAAAATGAAATAACTTAAAAATTAAAAAAAAAAAAACCTAAGCTACAATTTTTTAGGGAACAAAATGAAAAACTTAATAAAAAAAAACCTAAGCTATAGTGGAAGAGTGATTTACTATTCAAATGAACAAGTAAATCACTGTTCCTTTTTCTTAGATATTTTTTTGGGAACAAAATGAAAAAAAACTTTAAAGAAAAACCCTAGGTTTAGTGGAAGAGTGATTTATAGTTCAATTCAACTGTAAATCACCGGTTCTTTTTCTCGGATCTTTTTCATATAAAAAATATTAATTAGATAAGAATTTTTACAAAAAAAAAAAGAAGATAAATTCAAAAAGTAAAGTTTAAATAATAAGAGTAATATAAACTGAAGTATATGTTAATTTTAAAATATAAAAAGATATATTATATAATTATCGGTTTGTATGGAAAAAAGTTACGATTGCTTTTTCAAAATTTTAACACCCAATTAAAAAAAAAAGAACATAAATTGATGGAAAAAACAAAGGAAATTTTGATTTTTCAAAAATTTTAACACCTAGTCAAATAAAAAAGAGTGTAAATTAATGAAAAAAAGTAAAGAAAAAAACCAAAGGAAAGGAAAAAAAAAAAACATATCTAGTGTATCGATCAAAGGATTAAAATTTTTATTTTAAATTTTTAGGAAACAAAATGAAACAAAAAAAAGAGCCTAAGTTACAGTGGCAGAGTGATTTACTGTTTAAATGAACACTAAATCACTGTTTTTTTTTTTTTTTCCTCAAATCTTTTAGTGTTAGAGTAGTAATAGTAATAATAATACACACTCTCTCAAGTCTAAGGTCTCAAACTCAAACAAGAAAGTTGAAGGACCAAGACAACTGTCCTTCAATTTAACCAGTACGTTTCAAATGGGCTTCGGAATTATACAAGTGGGCTTACATGCCCCTATGTGGGTTATACATATATAAATGCTGATTTACTCCATATAAATAATTCATTTTCCCGTCATCATTTGATGAAATATGTTGCATTTAACATTAGTATTAAACAGACATGATAATTTTAGAAAATCTGTCAAAGCAATGAAAGCAAAAGCAAATCAAAATCACCACTAAGCAATGACTTGAATCAACTACTTGTTTGAGTGATGTTCGGTAGAGAAGGAGCGTCAGTCCAATAGCCTTTATTATTACGTTTAATTTTTTCCTTTTTTTCCAAAAAAAAAAAAAAAAAAACAGAAAAAATAAGGCTTGGGCACGAAAAATCCCTCATCCATTGGTTCAATAAGACAAATAAGTCTAATAATAAACTTTTAAAGTTGAGAATATTCTTAAAGAGTTCAGACTTAAGAGTACTACTCAAAATGCCAAAACTAAAATTAAGAAATTCTAACTCTAAAAGACAGACAGTAAAAATAAGAACCGAAGTGATCACTTAGCCTTCGGAGTTCAGATAAGGGTGGATTGGTAAGATAAATAGTCACTGGCACAACAAAGTGCTGGCCTATGCATGAAACTTTTGTCAGGTTAGGGTATTTGGCTATATATAGTGATCGATTAAAGAACAATGACAAGTAAATTACAAACATAGAATTAACTATATTAGTTAGCAGCAGAATTTTTAGGTTGCTGATATTGGATTTACTGCGGGAAATATACATGATAGGGAATATGGGTCCCTTGATCAGGACCTGAAACTATAATTCACCATTTGGGCTCCGTACATCTTTAGGTTTTATGTCACTTTTGCGTTTATTAATTCATTGACTCCTGGGTGTATGGCTGTATATCCCATGGAAAATCATGCCCTCATTCTCTATCACTTAAAGTTGCGGCTTATCGACCAAAATTGTGTCTTCTAATTTTCCATAATATATTGCTTCATTAAATCAAATTTAATAATTCCAAAATTAACTGTCGTGAACTCAACGCATTGGATGCTATTTGCTTGGTTTTATATTCTGCCTTTTCTTATATTTATATAATTCACGTATAGTCAACCAGTCATACTCTCCTTCATTGCTTGAAATAATAATTTGAAAATTGCTCTTAAGTCAAAGTCATAAATTACTTTAAAGTAATTTTATTTAATTGTCTAGTTGAGCTGATCAGATGATTCCTACTGTCTTTGGTGTTGGATATGCATGCATGCAGATAACGATCCAGCAGCTCATGATGTTGGAAGTTCATCCCTCAAAAGAAAAGAATATATATATATATATATATATCATATAAATATATCTATTTACCTTTATATAATATTCAAAATCTTTTATTTGTTATTAAATTTTTAATTATATTCCTTTTTTTTTTTTTTACAAAATTTAAAAATATTCAATCTGTTTTTTTATTAAATTCTTTTATTATGAAAAAATTGACCAAACTATCATTTACTAAAATGCAAAAAAATAAATAATAATAATAAATAAAGTTACACAGCCTACATGTTTCATTTTTGAAATCTTTAAAATTTTATTTTTTAATGTTTTAGCATTTTAATTAAGGATATTTCAATCAAAAAATTTTATTTGGTCGAAAAAAATTAATCAAAATAACATATTAAATATTTTAAATACTTTAAAAAATAAATAAGTATATTTATTTATTTTAAGGAAGAAGAACATATGTGTTGGACTTTCTATTGTTGTAAATTATGCAATGGGGTATCACTTGGGTCGGTGGATGTTATTTATTGCTGTGTATTGTATCGTTAATTTGTTATTTGAGATCTTCGGTGACCATAACGTTATCGACTTCTTTGCGTAATTTGTAACTACTTGTGCTTTAATTTTTCTTTTAATACAAAATATGCACAGATCTCATTTGTCTGAGGAAAAAAAGTAATTCGCTTTAAGTTGAATTAATATATCAGCTGGTAAGTCTAATACATAAAATAGAGTCATGAATGAATAAAAACTTGATTTGTTTTTACTCCACTTAAAGAATAATTTCAAATCTAATCTAAAATTGACTTATGAATTAGAGTCAGGAAATATTTTAAATAAATAGAAAAACTCATTTTGATTTTTATCACTATAGATGGTTCAAATTCTAAAATTATATTTATTAAAAAAATTAAATATAATCATTTTCGTTCAGAATAAAATTATTTTATTTCTAATTTGGAATAAGAATTAAAAGAAAAAAAAACTCATTTTGAGTTATTCTCAAGATTTATTGTTGTAAAAAGTTTTTTTTTTTAAAAAAAAACAACTTAAATGATTCTTAAATGTGCTCTAAGGTTAAGTTGTCCTAGAACACATTAAATTAAGAAACAACAAAAGAAATAATCTCCAAGATAGTAGCTCAATGGGCAAAATTTGGAATTTCCATTTGAAGATCTCATATTCAAATCTTGAGGAAGGCCCGCAAGGTGGCATTTAGGACCATGATGAAGCAAAAAAATAAAAAAAAGAAAAAAGAAAAAAAGAATATGTTAAATAAAATAAGAAAAAAAGATTGATCGAGTTTAGTAAATTAAGTTCTGTAACCAAGAAACTGATCCACCTTATCTCCTTTAAAAAAGGTATGTGATCCTCATGTCAGCCACAAATGGATTTGGTATCCTCTTCTCGATTTGAGTTCACCAAACAGGATGTCATTCGTTTATCTTATACTATTTCCGTAATCATTCCGGGATTGTAAACATATCGTCACCAGTGACTTCAAGCTACGTACGCGCGCATCCAAAAAAAAAAAAACTACAACTTTTGCTGACTTGAATATTTTCCATCTATAATTAATCATATCAAATTATATTCTTAGAGAAGTAGTATTAGTAGTATAAGTTATATATCATCAGCATAAATAAAACCGCGTTAGTTAGGCTTAGAGGAAAAGATAATCAAAGAAATGGTCGGGCAGGCTGGTCAGTCTAATATTTAAGTGAACATTCCAAGCAAAGAGTGCCCTGGTCAGCCCCCACAACGGTATTCAATGTCTCAAGTTCAGCCAACATTTGGAATAATATTACTGGTGGGGAAGATTCTCATATATTGCACTTGTAGGACCAACACATATTAAAATGATGGAAAAAAACTAGATTAGCGATCATAATTCGTTTGATAAAGTGGTTATACTTATGTAATAGTTAATATGATATATGTCTTGCAAAGCTACATACTTATCAAAATGTTAATTGTCACCATCGATCTAGATCTAACCCTTTGATCTGCCAGTGCATCTATATATAAAGGATGCCTTTAATTATGGCAAAAAAGTGTGCATTTACATTAGTTGCATGTGATATGATGTGAATATGGAACTTGCAAAAGATTTCATTGAGGTTTGGTGAACATGATCATTGGTGATCAGTCGATCGGAATTTAATTAGGTTTTAATTAAAGACTTAATCCACAAAGTTATCTGGTGGATTACGTTTGAGATGATATTTTTCATGTTTGGACATGTATGAAATACCGCAAATCTGGACTCCTTTTCTCCCATGTTCAATTTACTTATTTCGAAGACCTTAATTTTATTGTTAATTAACGTGTGGAACTCTGAAGCAAATATATGCCGCCAGGCCAGTAGACTTGTACCCTTTGACAAATATTATTGTGCACACAGGAACTCTTTCGAGCTTTGATGCAGCTAATAGCTTAAAATTCAAAATGATAAGGTAGTAACTTAATTTTCGTTAATTCGATGATTAGTTATTGAATCTTTGTTAGTATTTCATGGAGTAAATATCTGTTTAGTATCAAGGCGTACCTGTCATTTAGGCCCGCGAGAAGAAGACTGATTTAACAACTTCACCTAGCTAAAAGGCACGTAAAGGAATTGGGCCGGTATACAGAAATATTTTAAGCAAAAAAACAAAAAAACTTATATATTGTCCCCTGTGCTGTATCTGGAATATTGTGGCCATGAAATTACCACCGGGCCCTTTGAAAATGACATGATATTTTGACTCAGTTAGGTCGTGGCATGCATCAGGATCACCTTAAAAATACACTAGCTAGCTAGCAACTCAGGTCACTGCATCGTAAATTGGATAGAAGATTATCTCAAGTGGGAGTCACTTTCTTTACTAGATAAGGAGTTGTTTGGGGTATTAAAAATAAAAACAAAAAGGACTCGTTTCTTGTATTTTAATATGATTTTGACTCGAGCCCAAGTCTAAAAGATAAAAAGCGTATATGTTTATTAGACAGCGTTTAGGGAAGATCGGATTGGGAGTGGCTAAGACCGGGATAATTATAAAGAGAGATAATTTGGGGGAAAAAAAGGTTGGGAGATGTTGATGGGGCAATTACACACAGCTAGGGTTAGGGATGTTTCCTTTTCATAGGGATGTGACCTGTCTGCAAGTCACCACCATGCCTTCATGGGCTTTAGAATTAGTGATGTTGATGAGTGATAGCTGCTATTGGCTGATGTTCAAGCGTCCTGCAGGGGGTTCCTGCACTATGAGCTACCCTAATTTCTTACCAATTTTCCTAATGCCAACATCCAGATCACCTCAATAGCACAATTGGTATAGTTTCTTTCTTTTCTTTCTTCTTTGAGGCGAATGGGATCACAACATTGCACATATATCAACCATCGTATTCTTCGAAATTTGTCACTCAAATTTTTATTATAACGTTTTTAATTATTAATTGACACACGATATTATAAAATAAAAATTTTAAAAAATAAAAATACATGTTGATTACTAATTGATAATATTATAAAAAAATTTTGAAGTAAAAAAATTTCAAATAATAAAAAGTTTTGATAAAAAACAGTTCTAAAAATATAGGGTTTAAATATAAAAAAAATAATCTAAATTTCAAATGATATGCTCGCTCTCAAACAAACAACCCGAAACTATTGATAGTGTTGCGAATGGGTTGGTTGTGCGAACGTGCATAAGAAGTTCTATTTAGTAAATAAACCCCCCCAAATAATTTATGATTTTGCATGCTATAGAGTTAACTAGTTGAGATCGGCTCCATTCAAAAGACTTAAGCCTCTCGTGAGATATTTTTTAACGAGTCCCTTCACTTTCAGCCCATCTTTTAGGGTCATCAAATGGCTAGGCTCCAAGATCTTTACTGGTCGTTGAGCTTCTTTGAGGCTTTGATACAATTTATTATTTATTATTGGTTTAATTATTAAATGTGAGATATTTTTTAACACTCTCCTCATTTGCAGCCCATCTTTTGGGGTCCGTTAAATTGCTTGAGCTCTAAGATCTTTCTTGGTCGTTCGGCTTCTTTGAGGCTCCGATACCATATATTATTTATTATTGGTTTAACTATTTAATGTGGAATATTTTGTAACGCTCCTCTCACTTGCATGTACCATCTTTTGAGTCTATCAAATGGCTTAGGCTCCAAGATCTTTGTTGGCCGTTGGCCTCTTTGAGGCTTCGATACTATATAGAGTTAGATAGTTAGCGTTGGTTCCATCCAAAAGACTTAAGTCTTATGATGGGTGGCTCTTTCTTAATTTTATATATTATTTATTATCGATTTAACTATTCAATGTGGGATATTTTCTAACACATGCCATACTTGTAAGTGTTTTATTATTATTATTCAATTTTGCTATTAATTTGGATGGATGGTATCAATCAGAATAAAATAATACTACTGATTTGTTTTACAGGGACTAAAGTGGAATTGGATGCAAGTACGTCTAAGAGCAAATTGTCATTAACCAAGATACAAATCTGAGAATTCAGCTTTCGTATATTCCATCAAGTGTTTGGAATTATGTTATTCTTGCTTTCACGTGCTTATATTTTATAACAAAAAATTTCTTGTGAGCGCGCCCAAAATGAGTGGCCTCACGTATGTACAGTTAGAAATTAAAAGGGAGCTACCTAGGGACCTGGAGAAATTAAACCAGCACTGCTGTTAATTAGTTTTCGTGATGAAAAAATAGGAAAGGAAACAGTACTTACAATTTTGCTAAGCCTGTTTAAATTGTCACGAAACATACATCAACAATTACAAAAAAGAAGAAATTAAGCATGATTGCCTAATTTATTTGTTAAATAACAGCTATGTAAATGCAAAATATTTAGAATGCTTTCTTCTTTTCTGTAATTGTTGATATATGTTCTTGACAATTTAAACAGGCTTAGCAAAATTGCAAGTACAATCTCTACGTGCTAATATTCTTTTCCATCGATCCATGGTGTCCGTTGGCTAAGCATACAATGCACGACTGGCTCATTTGCCATTGTATCATTAAAACTGGACGTACACGCCCTCACTTTATGCTAAGATTCTTCTAGGAACCTTCCAATATGAATGTAATCGCATGAACCAATAATTCATACAATGCAAGGTCAAATATATATATATATATATATATATATATATATATATATATAAGATTGAAATTATTTAAAATACGAAGAAAATGGTTGACTGTAAAAAGATGTTACTCGCAGAGATTTATGACATATACCAATTACCAAGAGAAATTGAAGTTGAGAATAATTGGATTCAATATATATACGTACACTCATTAATTTTTATTTTTCTCTTTCTTTTTATTTTTTAATTTTTTGGCTGTAAAATCTTGCATGTGCTAGGGTAACATGCCTAACTTTACGGAGAAAATGAGAAGAACTGAGTTTGAAAACGACTATTGAAAATGATGAGAAAATAATAGTTATTATGCTAAAATTGATGGGAGAATAATGATAATCGTTATGGTCCAGAGAGAAAAGAGAAGCCACTTTATTTTAATGGACCATCACGTAATAAAACGAAATAATTTGTTAGCCCAATTCTCTGTTTTTAATTAATAAGAAGAAACAACATTTGAAGTCTCTTTCTACAATATTATATACGGGCAGTATTTATAATTACTATCATGTGTCGAACATGTCAATTGTTACTTCAAAAAAACATCAATAATTATCTTCAAAATAACAATTTTATTTTCTGATCTTGAATGTTAAAATGGAAAGATTAAATTTTTTTCTTTAATCTTAATCTTCACTTAATTATCTAAACTGTTGAATTAAGCAATCATTTGATAGTGGCAAGTCCAAAATCCAAATTCATTAAAAGTGAGGGAAAAAAAACATCTTCATTAATTTTTACTATTTTTGTATTGCGTAAATGGTTGACCTATAGGGAAAAAAAGTAGAAACAATTGCATTTTAAGGTAAACCAGAGCTCGCGATGATCAAATAGGTTAAATACATAAGTTCAAGATCAACGTCAGAAACCCAGAGTCCACGTGTCCAGAAACTATGGATGAACAAGTTGATATGACATACACATGCAGCTATACATAGAGACACCTTCCCTCCCTCCCCACCTCGAAACCCCAGTTATATTATTGAGGTCTCTCTCTGTAGCTAGCTAGCTTGCAAAAAATAGAAGAGGACACAAGCAATGAGAAGCAAAGAAACAAGCAAAAGCTAACTATCAACAACACCAAAAACAACAAGCAATAATACAAAACACATTAGATCTTCCACTAAAACCATTCATTGGCGCGCGCCGCTGACAGAGATGGCAACCACTACTGTGCTTTGTACCGATCGAGCTGATTTGAACTATAAAGAGACTGAGCTGTGTCTAGGATTGCCTGGTGCTGTACTTGGTGCCAAAAATGAAGTGGAGACACCTAATAAGGCTACTGGGAAAAGAGGCTTTGCTGAGACTGTTGACTTGAAGCTTAATCTTCAAGCTAAAGAAGGTGTCATGGATCTGAATGAGAATATCAAGAATATTGCTTCAAAGGACAAGAACCACCTTCCTGCTGCTACCATCAAGGACCCTGCTAAGCCACCAGCCAAGTAAGTTTTTCTTTCTTCTTCTTCTAGCCAGTATATAAGCTCGTTGTAGAACAATTACAGGATAGGAGTTGTATTATTATTTCTGTATTTATCACCAGCCACAAATTAACCCTCTTTCTTTCCTTCGTTATTGAAAACTTTTGGCAAAAATATCTCCATAGAAAATCTTTAATTGGTTTTTTTTAATCCTTAAAGGGCTTTTTCCTTTTATTGTTGTTCCCGTTTGTTTGTGAGCAGTACTATTTTCTCCTCTCTCTCTCTCTCTCTGTTTTTTTTTGGGAAATTAGAGAGGTGTAATATTAATATGCGTGATATATATTGGATTTCAGGGCACAAGTTGTAGGTTGGCCACCAGTTCGATCTTACAGGAAGAACGTAATGGCTCAGAAGAACGCTAGTGAGGAAGGTGAGAAGGCAAGCACTGGCGGCAGCAGTGCAGCATTTGTGAAGGTTTGCATGGATGGTGCACCCTATCTTCGCAAGGTGGACTTGAAGATGTACAAGAGCTACCAAGAATTATCCGATGCCTTGGCCAAAATGTTTAGTTCCTTCACCATGGGTGAGTATACATTTTGTGGTTATATCTCATGATAAGTTAAGAGAAAAAGCTGATGTACATTCAATTTAAGAGATCTAATTAATATTACAAACCAATAAACATTGTACAAGTACTAGACATAGTTTGGTTCAGGACCAAATGTTGGCCATGCTTTCAAGAAAATGTTCTAAAGCCAAACACCATAGTGAAATATGATGCATTAAGTTTAAAGAAGATAATTAAACAGCTATAAGATGTACTTTTATCATTTTTTTTCCTTTTATATAATGGATCGATGTACTTTTTAGCTATTGTGGAAAAAAGTGAGTGAGGAAAAGATCACATGAGATGAAATCATGGAACTTTAAGAAACTTCAATGTAATTTTCTATGTTAATAATAGATGTAACTTATTGTAGGATATTTGGTGTTAATGATATGCTAACGTATACGATGTCAATATTTTGAAGGTAATTATGGAGCCAAAGGGATGATAGATTTCATGAATGAGAGTAAGTTGATGGATCTACTTAATAGTTCCGAGTATGTTCCATCCTATGAAGACAAGGATGGTGATTGGATGCTTGTGGGTGATGTTCCATGGGAGTAAGTTCTTCATATCCTAATAAAACTCAAAAGCATGTAAATAATTAGTCAAATAATGAAAAAAAAAGAAGCAAATTAAGTGATGAAAATCGAAATTAGGCATCAGACACATGTTTGAGGCTTCCCAGCTCATATTATATATGGAGCAAAATAAGCTTAGGCTCCACCTCCCAAAAAAATAATTAAATAACAAGATTAGGAAGACGAAGCAAGATGGATGGTTATTGCTATTGATTTTAAATATCCACGAAAAATGTAAGAATTAGTTTGAAATTTATCATCTCTTATATAGTTACATTGATCATATGCAGGATGTTTGTTGATTCGTGCAAACGCCTGCGCATAATGAAAGGATCTGAAGCCATTGGACTTGGTATGCATATGATTATCTCATCATCTTAACCATTTATAATATTTTTTTTATGAAAGTAAATTTCTTAATTTTTTGAATATAAAAACAGCTTGCTTCTATTTGTTTCGAAAAATAAGTTAATTATGAGATGGATTACGACGACTAACTTAAACTTAATGTCCAAGTTTCAGCACCAAGAGCTATGGAGAAATGCAAGAGCAGAACCTGAACCCTTATATACTTAATGTATTTAGCTAGCCTGCTGGATTCCCTCTTTTTAGCCTTGCGTCCCATGAAGACTGGAAGACAAGGCGCTTGTGCAACATGGATGGAGCAGTAGTGGTGTTTCTTTGGATGTGTCTGTACTTTTTATTATATTATTATTGATGTTATTGTTATTGTTATATTATTTTTGAGGAAATGTGTCTGTATTTTTATTTGATCGTATATAGATATCAAAGATCTAGACATTTGTAATGGACAAGAAGCAAAAAACTCAACCCCCTATTGTCTGGCTTGTTTATTACCAATGGCTTGCTTAATAATCATCTATTTTGCTATTGTTTGTTGGTGTCTTGTCGATAGTTGTTGAGTGTTTTATTCCTTCAATTTAATGCTGCTTCTTTTTTCTTTTTCCTAAAATCAGATTCCTTATCTCATATATGTCCTTTTTTATTCATTAATATATGTATGAATTATTATTTGGAGTAGGGGGTGTTATTAAAATTCATGACCCAAGCGAGGGTAGGGAACAAGGCCATGTGCATGTTGATGGGGCTTTCAATTATGGCCATTAGTTTATGCTATATGTTTATGGTTTTGGGATAAACAAATGTGTATGTTATTGGTGAATGTATGCTGTTGAGTGAGTGTGGTTTGAATTCTATAATGTGGGATGGTGGTTAGCAGCATCTCCATTTTGCGTTTGTGTGTTATTATTTTATGATTATAAATTGAATCTTATGGGATCACTAACATTAATTTACGTACGTCTATCATTATTACTATAATGTCGATCTCTTTCTCTCTCCACATGCACACATTTTAAGCAAAGATAATTAAGTTTTCTTCGATCTGGCATTATGGGAGCCTCATGTTCTATCTTTGAGGGAAATAATTTGACAAGTTGTTCCTAAAGTTTTTACCCAATGACAGTAGAAGACAAAAATGCCTAATATCATTTTCACATGATTCTGCCTGCTATATATATTTGTAAGTAGGATAATTTATCTCTTCATATAATTTACAAACCATTTCATATATAAGTTGATAAGTTTGTGATCCCCCCATTACGATTGATGATGAGATGGTTTTCAATTCAAGTTGATTGTATAGTTGTAATTGATGAGGCTGATGGCAGCTATTTGCAAAACATTCACCAATCTGTATTATGGATAAATCTTTGTTCGTTGCACTATAGGATCAAGCCAATCATATTTAAATAATACTATTCTTTTGATTGGTAATGCAGGATACTCTATTTCAAAAAAAATTTATTAGTAGCTCGTAATAATCGCTCTCAATTGTACTCGTAGTTAGTTCATTTAATGAACACACTACTATTGAAAGTCCCCGTTTTTTAAGCTCCCTCAAGTGTGCGAAACCTATATCCATTAACAAAATAACATATTTACAATCTGACGAGTAAGCAATGGGCTTTCGTGCAAAATCTTTTAAGAATCGATTTGTCATGTTCCTTGCTTATGTATTTTCTCGTCCGTAAATTCGACATTAAAACCCTTAAAGGTCGCTTACCTATTAATTAATGCTACCCACTAACAAAATATAAGTAAAATAATATTACTCACATATTGACTAAACTAGGAGGCAAACTCAATTTCAATTAGAGCATCGACCTCATGCTCGAATATGAAAGGATTATTCGGCCGCATTTCGATAAAGAATCCACTAACAAGGATTAACAACAAAAATGAGTCGTTGTCTATTATGATTGCTGATATTATGATATATAATTAAAGATGTATGATTTAAAAATTGAATTTTGACAAACTCACTCAATGTAAAATTTTACTTCTTCATAGTTCAACAATATATATTGACGAGTTGTCGTGTATTCGACTTTTGTCAATTTTCATCTTGTTATCGACTCGGTTGGTCGACCTTATTTGTTGAATACGGATAGCATTCCTTTAATGTGGTCGCTCTTTTCTCCACTACACTCAATATTATGCAGCACTTTTCGCTACCTAGTATATATACGAGGCTCGAAATAGTGCGAACAAGACAAAGAGATTTCTTTGATCAAATATGCATTGCATATTGATCCTTCCACTTTAATCTTGTTTTTGATATTATTTTTTAGCTTTTGTAGGTACCTACAATATAAATTATTTTAAGGTTCGATAGTTAGAAGTTAATTATTTAATTTTACATTAAAATTCAATGTCAATACCTTTTAAATGGATATATCTATCGATATTTTACAAATCGTAATAGATGTCTCATATGATAGATAGATTGGATCGTGTTTCATAGAGTCAAAAAAGTTAGAAGGGAATATACACTCTAGTATGTATGGAATGATGGGTATCTCATCATGAAGCCATAATATATCTTCTTTCCTTATTACTATATAAGTTAATTGCTTGAAGAATAAACTTAACTCTATAAGTATTTGCTAAACATTTCTCGAAAAAGCTCCTAGAATGCAATTGGAACTAACCTCTACGTAAAGATGTAATAGTCATGACTTTTTATCTCATAAAGTTTTTCATTTCACATATCAACACATCTAGCTAGATTGAAGACATATCCGTCGAGAAACTTAAGTTGTTTGATCCATTTAACAAATTGATTTTCTATTATTTGAAAAGGTTAAAATCAGCTTCGAGTACTTTCTAGATGAATCATTTCTTGCTAATTTTGGCATTTTATAGAAAAGTCCTAAGCCTTTCTTGGAGTTAATATTTTCTTTAGTCTAACCCGACACATTCATGATTGTATTAAAAATATTATCAAACACATTTTTCTTAATATGCATGATATCTAAATTATGCTGAATGATATTTATACTTCAGTAAGGTAAATCTCAATAAATACTTTGTTTCTTCCATCCACACATCTAAGAGATTCTACTCGCTATGATCATCCGTACCATCTTCTTCACCTTTAACAACCCCTAATGTTTTACCAAATGTAACATCTCAGCCCCATATTGGATTAGAGGAGGACCGGATCTCATAATATTTTTTATGATGAATGTTTTCTTGTTTCTTCTCTATAAATGATCATTAGGAAATTGTCAAACCATGAAGTCTTCCTTCCATTAGGAAGGAAAAAGTATCCGAATTTTTTATGTAGTAAGAATAAGGTTGTTTTCCTAGAGTAATCCAACCAAATAGTATCAAATATATAGAAAAGTCATTGATAGTCCACATAATTGTAGCTCTCAATAAAATTTTTTGCTTACTATGGACTTCGTACAAGACAACGCCCACTTCTCACTAATGAATAAGCTTAGAAATCAAAAGTCGCAAGTAAACGTTCAACTAATAATTAATGTTAGGAACATATATTTCTCCTCATACACATCTAGGATGAAAAATTATAAGGTGTCATAATTACTAGCCATGAAGAATATGGCACACCGATTAACGAATGGACCGATTAACCGAATGGCTAAAACCCATAAGTCCAAACTCCTAATATGACGTTTCTTTTTTAGCTATAAAAGGAACATTAGTCCGATTTAAACTTCATCATGCAATAGAGTCAAAGAGATGATACATTACTTCTATATTATCTATCTCATGTTTGGTGTGCCACATCATGTGCTTAGTTGTAATATTCAATGCATGCAATCGCCGTAGTTACAGGATTAGGAAAAAGTAATATATTTTTTTAATTGGAAAAAATTTTGCTTTTATATATCTACGAAGGGAACTTTGATATTGAGGATGTTTACACAAATTGCATTTATCTATTTCATTGAAGCCTTTCTCATAATAATGAATCTTTCCTACTAATAAACTCATCTCCTTAACTAGCTTCTTTGTTTCATAAAAATTATCTATTATACGGTTATCGGTAAGCATTAACTCCTTCATCGACTCATATAACTGGTCGAAACACTTTTTAGAAAAATAATATTTGGCTTTTAGGTTCAGCATTCGAGCAACTGCCGACAATTGTGAGTGCTCATCACAACAAGATCAAATCTCTTTACGAGATACATTCAAAATATTTTAAAAGTGCTCGATGATTGAGATTTGAAACCTTCTTCGTGTTAGATGGATCAAAGGATGAACCGACTTGATCCATTACCATAGTTTCATATAGGTGTTGGGATTCACTAGAGCTACCTTTGCCTATATGATAATTTTTAGAAATATAATGACTCTTAGAATCAATAAATGTCATGTAGGACTTAAATTCTCTATGATGTATCCAATCATAATATTTTGACACAAAACCCTTATGGCACAAATGGTATTGATCTGTTTTAACCTTTTCAAATTTTTTTTTTGATACTTACTATAATTACAAGGACACTTAATTTTGGTTTCGTCCATACATTCGGGATGCTCAATAGCAAAAGCAATAAATTGTTCAACCCCTTTGATAAACTCATCATTTAACAATTCATTCACTAACCTAATATTCATCTATTATTGATCAGATCTCATTTTTTATAATTGCTAGAAAAATTACCAACACATGCAAAAAATTCTTGATAAACATTCCTATGAACTTAAAATAAAATTCAAGCAAATTGATTATCTAATTAAGAGTACTTGTTAGGATTTTTTTTTACGAATTTGAATTTTTTTAAATGATTGTTTAAAGAATGGTTACATCTTCTTTCTCTTTATTTTTATTTTTAAATATTGAATTTATTTTTTTGATGTTGTCAAATTAGGATATCTAGATTTTATTAGAGTAAGTAAAAGGTTTTAGATTGTAAATAGTAAGTAATTTATTTGATAAAATCATTTATTTAGTATCATATTAAATGATTTATTTGTCAATATTCTTTTCTTATGTAATTCTAATTTCTTGAGTTGTCATCCATTAAATTTAAAGGATTAATTAAGTTTGTCATCTTAAAATGTTAATCCTAATTCAAATCAAACCTAATAAAATTAATTCAAATTCAAATTCAAACATTTATTAAATTTTAAATATCAATATTAATTAAAAAAATTAAAATATCATAAAATTAAAAAAAAAATGAATCAAAACTTACCTAATTAGTTTAATAATAAATTC